TCAAGAGAAGGTAAATGTGTTAGAAACAGTTTGTGATTCTACGGGAATACAAGTGAATTTAAATCAAACCTAAATATTGTCTTTAGAAGAGGGGGGCCTCACAGCAACTAACAATAATGGACATATAAAGGCACACATCAAAAGTTGTAAACTTCTAAAGCTATCTAGGGATGGTGTCTCCCCCAAATTATAATGGAGTAAAACCTTTAGCTGTCTAGCTGTCTCAAGTCAAGAAATCACTCATTAACATCAATAATTATCAAAAGTAATTTGGATATATGTCATATAAAGACAACTTCAAAATATATGACTTAATCATAATTCCAATATTGTGGTACGGTGCTGAAATCTTGGGACACAAACTTTATTCTGCGAAACGTTTCTCAGACTTAATAAGAATACTCCTAATAACATGGTTCCTGGTCAATGTCTTCAATATATTTACATGACAAGAGCAAGGACATTGTGGACCAAAAATATTCACCTCAACAATAATGGACTACCATAACAGGCTTACATTATGCTTAAATCTGTTGATGAAGCTGGAAGACATACACATTGATTACTTCAATTAAACATATTTCATTTCGTCTAGGGTTTGGTATAGTCTGCATTCAGCAGAACATGGGAGATGCTGACACGTTTTATATGCGAATTTCAGCAAAGGCTCTCTGACAAATTATACCAAGACTCGCATTTGCGGAGAACACTCATTGTACCCATGTCGGGAATCGAACCCTGGTCTTAGGCGTGACGATCAGACGCTTTAACGACTAGGCTCCCCGTCCGCCCCTAAACAATAAATAAATCACTATAACTGAATCATATCTAACCAATAAACATACCTCCGGATTGTAAGTGGCATTTATCAAAATTTAGATATTATAATTTGGATAACATGTTGAAATACAATAATATTCCTAATGATAAAAGATATTGAGCATTATGTTTGAAGAAAAATTAGACGTTTGTATAAGATGAATACCTTGGGGTGAATATATGTAAACGCTACACATATACGAAAGCAATATATACATCCATTTAATACAGATGACAACTGAAAATTGTATACACCTTACGAAATCTACAGAGGTGAGGTGAGGTGAAATTAGGTTTAACGTCGCGGCCATGATTATTGCACTTATATAGCGACGTGCATGCACGTGAGTGTGTGTGTGTGTGTCTGCTTGTACTAGACCGGACTGATGCCGATTTATAGTGCTAGCCCACTGAGATACCATGCCGCAGTTTAACATGAATACCCCACTCAGACACAGTATACTGACTCCGAGCCGACCAGTCCTTGCTTTAACCTCTTAATGCCGAGCGCCAGACAGGGTAACAACAAGTACCATCTTTTAACATCTTTTGGTATGACGCGGCCGGGGATCGAACCCCGGACCTTCCGCTCTCCGGGCGGACGCTATATTTATCATTGGTCTATACTTAACTTAGACGTTTTTAATGAGAAATGAGAAAACACTTCCTTAAAATAAATACCATGCATGATATTATAATAATCATATCATTGTCTTGTGGGTGTGGCTTTTACTACTGAATACATTTGTCTGACTGTCTGACTGTCTGACTGCCATATTGCCATTGAGTCCTGCTATAAGTTAGCAACTGTTTTACACGTTGGCATAAACTCCAAGAGATTTCAGTAGGTGTTGAGCAAACTCCAGATACAGGTGGACATCGTCCTGAAAAGGAAGCCAACACGATAGAGTTAGTGAGTGAATGAGTTTGATTTAACGCCGCTTTGAACAGTATTCCAGTTTTTATCACGGCGTGTGAGTTTGAAGTGGGAGGAAAACCCGAAGTGATGCAGGTTTCAGACGTTCAATGTCTTGGTAAAACACGTGAGCACGGGTATGGTGCTGACATCATAGGTCTCTGGCGTACCCAAGGGATGCAACGTTGCTCGAATAGCTCGATACGTGGTAATATTAGCATGGAGGCATTTTTCTCAACACTAATAAAAAACCATCCTAAAGCTTATGCATGTTTAATCATGAATATGTTAATATGTTGGATCTACAGTAATTCACCTTTCTAAAGTCACCTGTGCCTACAATCAAGATGCTATCGAAGAGAGATAACGATGAGGTTGTGGACGTGTCCTACCTGGGAGAATGGAGGCCACAGAGACATTAGCGTAGACGTGGCATGTTGTTGATGACGTCAACCCTGCCATCGTCCTGCAGTCTGCTGGCGATGTTCACCAAGAGGACCAGGAACCGCGGCTCGCTCAATGAACTGCAGTAACATGTCTGTACCCGCTTACATGTACAGTACTTTGTTTATCTGATGTCTTATTTGAAGACAATGACGGTTTCTCGTCTTCATCAAACCCGACATTCATGTACATCCCAATGTCTCCCACTGCATATTTGATGAAGGGGGTAATGCAACAAGATAAAACTACCTTTGAGTTTCGCGTTTTCCGCAATGACTGGTTGGTGAGTTGGGCGTCCATCACTTTTCCCACGTCTGCTTCTAAATGTAAGGACACAAATTGGAAATGTTCATGAATAGAAAATGGACCTTTTGTAATGAATATCTACGCATTTATGATCTTCCAACATGTGCATGGGGGTTGACACTGGTGTCATGAGGTATCAAGGCCTCACCCGTTCTGGACAAAACTGACCTGATCATGATGACTGCAAGGACCACCCCCAAGACCACCGCTATGCCGGCAACAGCTCCTATTATTGTTGGGATGGAAACAGATGTGGCGTCCAGAGGGAGAGTGGGAGTAGATTACAATTAAATAGTAAACATGATGTAGTAATGATATGTGCGCACACCACAAAAAGTGTTCATTAACACTGGCCTGTTTATGTATTCATTAAATTATTATTTGTTCTTCAATCAGCACATATTGTCAAAAGAAATATCATCAACAGAAAGATGTTATAAGCCGAAACTATATGGCTATTAAATCTCGTTCGTTATGAGTGATATTGCCTGCACATTCTCTATGCTGGCTGTGCCTGTCTAACCTATACTCAGATACACATGGTGATGTCATATGATAATGCAGATGTTATATTCTTAATAACGTGTGGATTGCTTCATTTCGTTTGCATAAGTATTGCTTGCCAGGATAAAATCTTCTGAAATATGACCCTGTATACGCAGTGCGCCATGTCCAACATCAGTGTATCCTAACTGCGGTATCCTGTTGCTGGTCTGACAGTATGAATACGACATCCTATGTCCCAACCGCTGCTTCCCGTACTATCAACAAGACATAGACATGAGGCTAAGTCAGCAATGTCGCGCCTGCACTCACACACCCTGGTCTCCTCTCCCTTGTGTCATATCATTGCAAAGATATGTCATTTCAGTTCCTAAACCTCAAAACCGATCTGGAATTTACGACTTTCACGAACACACGTTTCATCACTATTTGATAGTGATCCATACATTCACAATTTTATTTACATGAAGCGATCTATTGATCTACGGACGTCACGTCATCGCCCCACTTTCTACATGCATTTCGCTGCACATTGTTTGTTAGCTCTCTAAATCGAGCACCCTTCTATATATATTTTCCAACCCTTTCCATTCCTCGCCTCACTTGAAGCTTTAAAGGTCGACGTCCCTGTCCATTTTCGTGTATTTGCATTAAATTATAATAGTGTCTTCTTATCAGAAATATTGTTAGCCGAGTACTTAATATATATACATTTTACATTTTATTGAACTCGGCGGGGAACCCTTCATACCTCTGCTTATAAGCGATTGGGAATCGATCTTTTTGGCTAATTATCTATCACTTATTGCTTTTGCTAGACGCCAAGCGCTGCTGCTGCTGCTGACAACTCCAGTTGCCCATCTGCACAGATGAATCAAGATATGCCTCTGATGCACAGATGGCAGAAAATTGTATTCACTCCGTAGATATACGTCCATTGTCACACAACTGGTGTCTACTGGAGTTTTGCCCTTATGGAGGAGACGACCACTTCGAAATCTGATGCCACTCTTTTAAAGGCACGCACAATCATTACAATAAGTTTGGTATATATTTCACATTCATAGCTGTTCCCGGTGTACTTAATTGATATGTGTATTATGCCTTTGCCGTCACAAAGGAAGGTGGGGGTGTGGCGCGTTATCAATGACATGATCCTTTGTGTATTGGTGACAGGAAGCCATGAATGACTGGATGTTTTGGGCACAGCTGATTTGATCTCGTACTTCTTACCCATTACATGTTGTCATAAATTGTCATATGCTTCGTTGGATGTAACACGTGTTACATTTGAAGACAACTCAAGGTGTTTATTTATTATATTTTATTTAAAAAACAAAGTACCCTCTGAAAATCCCGCGGCAGGAACATGGAACATGCTTTATGAACATCTCAACAATACAATGTTAGAAATGAGTTTTTGAAATAACTTCTGTTTCAATACAAACTTGCGCTTAGTACTATAAACATGTTAGTAAAGGCCCTACACACCTTGGTTAGACTAAGGTCATTTAATGTTGAGAATGGTTGTGTATCTACATAAGACGTTTACCACATTGGTTACACCCACCAGCACCCACAAAAATAGGGATTGGAACCCACGGTCATATGTTTCTGGCAGGTCTAAACACTGCTATGTTCTTCAATTATAAGGCGACAGTGGTTGTTGAAAACGGCGACACTCATGATATCAATCACTGGATGGCCCGATGACTCGATTATTTACAGAACGCCGCCATATAGCTGCAATATTGCAGAGCAAGGCGTTGAATAACAAACATTATCCTCTATTATACCAAACGTTTGCTGATCAATACAACAAATGCCCTCCACATTTCATTTTTATCCAAAGTTTTTTTCAGGCATAATTGTGCTCAAAATAACAAGAACAAAGTAACATGAAACATATTGAGAATATATTTAAACCTTCACACATTTTCTGGACCATTACAACAAGCCAATAACGCGAATGACTCGGATGTGTCAGAGAGAGTTGAGTTATAACAGGAAGTAAGCAGAAGAAGTCTTTTATTTGTACTAAGGCCACTGGCCCATATACAATACATACATTTGAAATAGTGGCGTACATGAACAAAAGGTAATGCCAGGTACAAATTTACAGATTTACAGGCTTTTCATAATTACGTCTTCTTTCATAGCTGTAATACAGGTATTTACATAGTTTTCCAAGTAATTGCTTACATGAAGATGACAGCAACGTTTTAAATTGATGTATATTTGGATTATGGCAAAAGGTTGTTGGTAAATACAGTTGTCTAATATTGTTGTAATATTCACATTCTAAAATAAAATGATATTCATTCTCTATACTTGTTTCACATATGGGGCAGAGCCGTGAACGTAAATCAATATCAGCCCATCTACCTTAGTTTACCTTAAGTCTTAGTAGCCCGGCTCTAAGCCTTATCATAACATTTCGATACTTATTTCAGTAATAATGGAAAGGTATATTTCTGGTTCCACGAGACTTTTAAACTCTTTATACAGGATGTACCTAGAACTAGCCTTGATTGTAGTATTCCATGATTGGTAGAACATATTTATCAAAACATTTTTAAGACTATTTATGAATGATGGTTTGTCGCCAACAGCATGACTGAGCCAAACTATTCCAAATCCGTGAGAAAATAATATGGAACGAATAGAAGAAGAATAGTTATGATGACCACACTTGTCGTTATATACAAGCATATTATAAGTTTTTCTTGGTATCCTATCTTCGTCCATTTCAATCACTTTTAGCCTATACTTTACAGAACGACACATAGCATTTACATGTAGTGGGTACCGACCGCATTCTCCATACACAATAGCATTTGGTGTTTGCAAACCAACGTTAAAAAACTTTTAAAAGCCATGATATGCACTTGTTTTATTTTTTTCAAATCTGTCTACAACCAATATTTCAGCACCATATAAAAGATTAGGTTGAATCTGAGTATCAAATATTTTAAAGAAAACTGAAGTGTCAACAAAACCAATCTTCCGTAGATTGCGAAATATTCCCATTAAAGCTCGTTTACCCCATGGTGCTACATCTGAAACACACTGGTTCATCATTGATATATATGAGAATACAAACCGAAGATATCTATAGGAGTTGACGGTTGAAACACGTTTGCCTTTATAGAACCATTTCTCATAAACAGATAATAATACAAGGTACCCTCTGAAAATTCCACAGCAGGAACATGGAACATGTTTTATGAACATCTCAACAATACAATTGTAGAAATTAGTTTTTGAAATAACTTCTGTTTCAATACAAACTTGCGCTTAGTACTATAAACATGTTAGTAAAGGCCCTACACACCTTGGTTAGACTAAGGTCATTTAATGTTGAGAATGGTTGTGTATCTACATAAGACGTTTACCACATTGGTTACACCCACCAGCACCCACAAAAATAGGGATTGGAACCCACGGTCATATGTTTCTGACAGGTCTAAATACAGCTATATTCTTCAATTATAAGGCGACAATGGTTGTCGAAAAAGGCGACACTAGTGATATCAATCACTGGATGGCCCGATGACTCGATTATTTACAGAACGCCGCCATATAGCTGCAATATTGCAGAGTGCGGCGTTGAATAACAAACATAATCCTCAATTATAGCAAACGTGTGCATATAGATCAATACAACAAACGCCCTCTACATTTCATTTTTATCCAAAGTTGTTTATCAGTCATAATTGTGCTCAAAATAACAAGAACAAAGTAACATGAAACATATTGAGAATATATATAAACCTTCACACATTTTCTGGACCATTACAACACGCTAATAACGCGAGTGACTCGGGTGTGTGAGAGAGATTTGGGTTATAACAGGCAGTAAGCATCGATTTAATATTAATGCTGCCTCAACCATATTTTACTATAAAATCAAAATTAGATTTGAAATACAACTTATTTACTTTTACGGTTATTACGAATTCAAAGTGACTTGGAGGTAAATCCATAACATTCACAGTAATGATCAATAATAATATATGTTTTCCTTTAGATGCCTCCTAGAAACAGCACATGATTAGTGTTATTTGATTTAGCCAAGATTGTAACCTTTGAAAAGGACGTTATGTGGACAACCTGAACATTTTATCTGCCACAATTTATTATCATACTATTTCCGTATAACCACACGTTTCCTTCGGGCAAATCTTAACAGGTCACTGGATAGTGTCAACATCAGCTGGAATACCACGCTTTTGTTGTGGAATACCTTTTCACATACGACAGCCAAAGGCCATAACTAGCTATTCATCTTGATATTTGCAAAACTGGTAATTTGAGTGAGAGGGAACTATTACGTATTTTTCAAAGGCACCTCCATTATTCACAAAGGATGTTCAGACATTTCAGCAGCTGGCATCGGCACTGCAATTTGACATTTTCTATTTGACATTGATACTTTGCTTTCTAATGTATATGGATACCAATGAAATAATCCTGAAGTCATATATTCAGATGTTGCACTTTCCGAGACATGATGCGTACATCTTTTCTTAGATTTGATTGTTTTCGTTCTGAATAACATCATACAGTGACTTGTCCTTCTCCCTGGTGACTTCATTCAATTCTGTATAGTCTTGATCTTTCACATCGGAAGTGGGCGCATGAGTAGAAATCTCTCCTGTGTTGCGCGTGTCCGTCTTTCTCAACTCTTGAGGGTCTGTGGTAGGTCTGGGAATCCGTTTCAGTCTAAAACAAAGAATTGTGGTAGAAGTATGATACATGACTATTGTACGTGTATATGCTTGTGATGTTTGTTCCACAAGCAAGGAAAACAATGTCAATAATCTGTTATTTAATTACATACAAAACTAAGTTATGAAGGCGTTACCTTCCAGCTTTCAGCAGACATATCATCAGCCCACCAATCAGCAACAGCACTACAGCAATTCCTACTGCTCCCCCAATGGCGCCGATTGTAACAGGAGATACTGGATTAGATACAAAGTCATTTTCGTCAGGTATTTAACATTTATTGTGAATACATATAAAATCAGCATATGACAACGTAAACACTATGTAGCATGGAATATATAACGTGTGTTTGTTGGTCGATTTGCAGAGATCAAGCATCATCAAAACATGGTGACAGGATTATAATTGATATTTTCGTATTCGTAAACCTAATATTTTGGGGAAAAACCACTAACAAGTATTCAAACCCCTGACATCCACATCACATCGGTCACCGGTGAAGCCGTCCAGACATTTTCCCGGGCAGCGTCCATCTCCATCGTCACACGTGACGTCACAGTGTCCACAACGAGAACAGTCACGTCCATAGGTTCCAGGCTTGCATTCTGAAGGTGGTCAGTTAGGTATTCAGTTATGAAATGATATGATTAAGAAGTTAGTTTACATATTCTAGTTTTGATATAACATTTTTATTGATTTGTCTGCTGAAGGCTGTACTAACAACCAGCATATATGTATATTAATATAACCTGTGTGGTTATTTGTAAGACTTTGTTACAAATAAAGGTTGGGTTTAAGGAAACATTACTCTGGGTACAGTCTGTTCCGATCCATCCTTCCCGACATCCTGCGGCGCAGGTCCCTTACATATTCTAAGTTTACATATTCTAGTTTCGATACAACATTTTTATTCGTTTGTAGGTTTTAATGGTTGATATACAGTGACAGTAACTGAATATTCTGTATAAGAGAAAGATATTTTGAGTAACATTAAATGTAGCATATTTCCCATTGGTTACTTTACATGTTTGATTTCATGAGGAAAGATGGGTGAAATGATATACAGTAATCAATACAATATCAATACAATATACACTCACACGCAAAAGAAACGCAAATGGTTTTAAGCAAATAGGTAACAAACACGGAACCATTAATTGATACGAGTTTTAGCATTTAGTGAAGCCTGATGATGTTATCAATATTTTTGGTTGCATTTTGGAAGCCCCGAGTAAAAACGCAACATAAAAACGAATCGCCAAAACGCACCATTTCAATGAATATGTCGGTATCATGAACCCATTTCTCGCGAAAACGAAAATGCACGAACTGTCACGAACTGTAGTGGGTATAAAACTGTGGCCGATTCATGAACCTACCACTCCTTGGTCAACAATGCCACGCCTAACTCAAATCAAGAGAAACCAGGCGTTCGGACGTTTGGAAGCGAGAGAGTCTGTCCAAGATGTTGCCCGTCATTTCAACGTTAACATAACCACAATTTACCGTCTCCTGCATCGATACAATACCACACAGACCACAGATGACCTTTCTCGGAGCGGTCGTCCTAGGGTCACAACACCTCGACAAGATCGGCAGATTACCCGTCAACACCAGCGACATCCGTTCCTTACTGCAAGTGAAAGTGCTCGACAGACCATAGGAACACATAATCGACATATTAGCCGGGACACTGTGATCCGACGTCTCCGTTCCAACAACCTCAGATGTCGCCGACCAGCACGTCGTCCTGTTCTCCAACCACGGCATCGACGAGCACGACTTCAGTGGGCACAGGGTCATTACAATTGGCGTCATCGTGAGTGGAGGCGTGTCATCTTCTGTGATGAAAGTCGCTTTTGTGTCTCCCATGCAGACGGAAGAGTCAGAATTTGGCGGCGTCGAGGTGATCGTTTCGCTGACAGAAACGTTGTGGAAAGGGATCCATGGGATGGACCTAGCGTCATGATATGGGCAGGGATTGGACTTGGACTTGGACCCATGTGCTTTCTGAATGTTAGTCAAGGTCGGGGACACGGCGTCACTGATCAGCGGTATATCGACCAAGTAATCAGACACCACGTTGTTCCATTTTTTGCACAACATCAACAACACATTTTCCAGCAGGACAACGCTCGTCCCCATGTTGCGAGAGCTACCATGGCCTTTCAGCAACAACACAACATCCGTGTTCTACCGTGACCAGCCCTCAGCCGTGATCTGAACCCCATCGAACACTTGTGGGATGAGGTTCAAAGGCGTCTGCACAATGTGCGCCCAGTCCTTACAACTGCCGATGAACTACGCACAGTTGCTCTGGATGTGTGCAGGAGAATCCCTAGGGCCTTCCGAAATCGTCTGATCCACTCAATGTACGGGAGATGTGTGGCAGTGGTAAATGCTAATGGTGGTCACACCAGGTATTGACTGACATTTTGGGTATTGACCCGAAACTGTGTAAGCCCTTAACATTTTGAAAACAATGATGTCATCTGCCTTTTAATCGATTAAACTGTCTTCAGTCAATTTTTTTGTCAATCTTGCCCTATTAGTATTTTTTGTCTTGACTGTTGAAGATAAATAACATGTATACTGCATACTCGACTTGCGTTTTTTTTGCGTGTGAGTATATATACTAATCAACAGCCATGTCAATGTAATATGTTACTGTGGTTTGGACATTAAAAGGCATCACATTGATCCTTCACATATCAATCAGCTTTGTACTAACAACTCTCATATATGTATATTACTATCACATATGTGGTTATTTTTAAGACTTTGTTACAAATAAGGATAGGGTTAAGAAAACATTACTCTGGGTACAGTCTGTTCCGATCCATCCTTCCCGACATCCTGTGCCGCAGGTCCCTGTCTCGTGATCACAGGCGACCCGTGCAGTTTCACAATGACGTGAATCACAAGACTTGCTGCAGTTGGAACCGTACTTCCCGCTCGGACATGCTTTACGATCAGTAAATTTGATAATCATCTTACATGTACAAGCATCTTTGTTTCCGAAGCAGAAAGGTTTTAGAAAACAATGCGACAGGTTAGATATGTAAGTAAAAAAGATTTGCCTATATTATCAATATGTATGTCTTTTGTGGGGTGAGTAAATCACTATTGAAATATTCAATATCTCACTCAATTTAATTCAACTAAATTTAATGTCACGGTTTGGAAGAAACTGGCACTATTTGCAGAATTGAAACAAAAACATGCTCAAACTGATTCTTACGTATCCTGCAGTCAAGATTCTTCCAGCCATCCCGGCATCCATCTATGCAGGACCCAGTGACGTCACACACAGAAGATGGTGTTTTACAGTTACGGGAATTGCAGAACTGAGTGCATCCTGCTCCGTACCTTCCTGGAGGGCAGTTTGCTTGCACTGCACCAACGAACTTAGTTTCAGCATTTGGGAATTATAATAAGAATAATAATAATCATTGCAACAGTCCATAATGGTGAGTTCTGCATTACATATAAAAGTCAAAACGAAATCACATCTTTGACTACATCTAAACCTAAAACAGTACACATTGTAAAACTGCACAACATATCATAAGACGGGATAATGTCAATTGAAATATTGAATCACATAGTAGCATATATACGTAAATTTAGTTGCAAACTAGTTTAGAGCAACTTTGATTCAAGATTTGCTTACGACTTTTGGAAACAAAAGACTGGCATATTTGTTATTTATTGTCACCTGACAATGCAAAATTGAAAGAAAATTCAAATGAGATCAGGAAGTACCACCAAAAGGGTCTGAAAAACGGGTAGAATGAAGGATTTGGGGAGTACTTTTGTCCTTGTTAGGGGCCATTTGACCACGACAGAATATGTTCTAACATGTTAATCAATTAGAAACATTATATTACTAAGTTGTTATTCCCACAACCATTAACGTCTTTCAAGGTTCCCAGTTTGGTCTCTGTTTTCGAAATATACATTTGCTTACGATTTACTCAAAAAAAATAATTACTAGGCTGAAACGTCCTTACAGAGAAACAGGCAGTGAGAGAAAACTAATATATGACATGACAGCATAAAGTTTGCATGATAAATTTAAAATGTAAGAAAAACGTACAACTTTATGGATAACAACTTCTGGTCTATTGCATATATCTATTCAATGTAGATTCTTACACCGTCATCAAGCTTGAGTTACTCACTCTGGCATAATCACGGTTGATTGACGTTTGGAGCCTTTTAATGTTAATGGCTTCTTCTTTTCTGATTTTGAAATCTTCGACAAAATCAATATAACTAGTCTACAATTTCTGTTCTTTTCCAAACAGCAAGACACTTCACCCATGAATAAGCTTAATGTTGCAGTGTTTTGTAGTTTCTTGTTTAGCGCCACACCATGCACTATTCGACCTTTACCAGGAAATCCAGTGATTGACAGTATAAACAACAACGTCATACACAGTCGGGGTGCGATGACAAGAAAACAACTAAGTCACCGAGTTGCCTCTCACGACAAGCAAATTTCCTAACCACGATTCCACACTAGTAGAAGTTAAAGTGATGACGTCAAGTGTGTCGGGAACAACGTAACATATCCTACCAGCACCACCAGTCCCAAGTGAAGGTCCAAAGTCAACATACAGTTGGCCTGAGAAAACATCTGACCACCGTCGGACATGCTTTTTTCTCAAACATTTCAGGATTAACTTTATACTAGAGATATATTATTGGTTAGTGGACCATTTTCAAGGTTGCGTGGATACCTGCAGTGCATAAGTGCCGTTTGAACCCATATTCAAACAACATACTTAACTGTTTGTTTGTCTCCTCAGGGTGCGACTGACAAGTTCGTTTGAGAGACTACTTACTCGTTGTGCATGATGACTTCCAAAGTCAATTGATTCCTGGGTGTCATTTTGATTATATGCAAATGGGTATTACTTATTAAAAAAAAGTAAGCGTATCATGTCCAAACACATGCAAAGACAAGTCAATTGTTCAACTGAAAAGAACAACGAAACATATGGAAGCCTGCAACCTCGGGGTTTCGCTGTACTTGTCATGTACGCTAAACGGAACAAAATGCCCTCACTAACCTCTATGATTATTCGTGTTCTCTATATCAGATGTCATTTATTTTATCTAACAATGCATATTTTACTGATACAAGTTCAATATTTACATTAGTAGCTCCGAGTAAAAGCCGGGCCTCGCGTTTAGTTTGACAAGGGAGAGAACTCCATCGTATCGCGGTATGGAGAAAAGTTGTGTATGGAGATCCGAATTGAACAAAAAGAGGCCATAATTCTACCAATCACTTAGTATGATCACACCAGACATAAGTGATTTGTCCAGACAAGTGCACAGTCAGTGAAATTCTAAATGTGTTCTCAGTAATAGGTATTCAATGCATATTTACCGAAAAGTAAGAAAACATTTTAAAAATCAACAACAAAGTACCAGAAATGATATTTTTAGAGTTTAAAAAAAAAAAAAAAATGGATGACAATAATTTGTCACAAAATGGAAAAAATGTCAAAAGTCAACAATAAATATATAAAAAAACACACTCCTGGTATGACCAAAGTATGTATTTATCTTTTAGCTACTAGAAAAAAACGTATTTCTAAGCTTGGCATTATGGCCCTTATTAGTCGCCATGAATATGCAGATGATCTAGTTCAGGTCGATAGAGAAAGTTTACTTGGGGAACTGCGGTTTATATCGTTGGCCATTGATGGATGGGGGGTAAGGCAATATTTTTAAAAAAAATGCCAGAAGTAAGTATCAACGCATTAATAACTCCTTACTTACAGCAGACGGATCATTCCGAGGAAATTGAAACTGTTTATGATTACCGGTTACTGATTTGCATTAATAGATAGCTGCTGAGAGCCGTGTCCCGCGTGAACTACCGGAAATCACAAATGCCGCGATACGATGAATGTCGATGTACCACGGGGTTCGAGTATACATGTGAACTTGGGGAACATCGTACATCATATTGTTGTGTTGACCCAACAAAAAAATATTGAGTGTCATACAAACAACAGGCACGATGATGTTGTGTAACTTAATTCCGGAGCAGTCTATTTCTGTCCATCAATCTTCACACCCATCAGGACACTGCCCTGTTACTCTGTCACATGTAGAGGAGGGTGTCTTACAGTGTCGGGAACTGCAGTTGGCTCAAACGTTCACTGCACAAGAAGCATGATATCTGTTCACATGGAGATATGAAAAGGCGTCCATGCAATAAAAAGGTCATCAGTCAACATATGTTGCGAGAGAAAATTCGCATCTGACTCTTAAGCAGGAGTGAATAGGTTCACAATCTGTAGGGAAGTAGACATATTTATGTCTTGAATTTTAATGCCGATGCCACCATAATGACAAACTACTTCTAACAAGTGTATGCAATGTTAACACTGAGTTGAATCAACTAATCATTCAAATTCAATAGCTGTTCAATCAGTGCTTATGTTGAACCAAGCACAAATACGAATATGTTATATTTACTAAACAATTAGTATTGTTTATTATATTATTACGGTACAAGGTGGCTTACTTCTGGAGCAGTCTATTTCTGTCCATCCATCTTCACACTCATCAGGACACTGTCCTGTCACTCTGTCACATGTAGAGGAGGGTGTCTTACAGTGTCGGGAACTGCAGTTACTGGCACAGTTAGGGCCGTACATCATACTGGTACACGCTGAATGAGATATAGGTGAAACTGGTGTAAGTTTGAAAGTAATTTATAGAAAGTTCTCATAGCTGCAGATATGATTTAAACTATAACATCAAGGGGCCATCAAGTATTGGTGCAGGCTACTGCGTTTGGACGAGCACAGACTGCCTCGCCAATGCGATTTAATGCTCAAATCACTAGACCGTTCCTGTCACACCACATGGGCTACTCACATTAAGAACATCTTGTTTAAATTAGGTTTTGGACATGTATGGTTAACACAAGTTGTTGGCAATGTAAAGATATTTATTCATCATTTTAAAAAGGGATTATGATAATCTTCAACAATAATGGTGTAGTTCTATCAATAGTGTAGTTGATACCTTTTATTATAAACATTTTAAATCCCTGTTAAATGTAGAAAAATATCTTACACTCCCCATACCAGTACATCTGAGAATATGTATGACTCGTTTCAGATGTAGCAAGTTTAAACTTGCAGTTGACTTGGGGAGATACACAAATGTCCCATACACTGAACGATTATGTAAATATTGTATAGAAAATGGTATATCTTTTATTGAAGATGAATTCCATGTTTTACTTGTATGTGAGCGTTATGCTAAGAAATATGTATCTTAAACAGTATATCAAGTTTCAAACTTTAACATCTTTTACTGAAATTATTTCATCAGAAAACTTTGATGTTGTATATAACTCATGTTTATATCTATATAAAGTCCAACGGCTAAGAGAAACTTAAATCGATTTCTTCATTGGCATGTGTAGTTCGTGCAATCAACCATTGTCTGAATTATTGGCCCATGGCCTTCTTACTAAATAAACTGTCTGTCTGTCTGTCTCATAGCTGCAGATATGATTTAAATTATAACATCTGTAATGTAAATTACATCCTTAAACAAACTGCCAATCATTTTGGAACATAAACTTATCCAGCTTTCGATTAGTCGATATCATAAACTGACGAGCAATACAAAGTATATGGAAACATGTTTTTAGGCCCAAACACAATTCACGTTAATGGAATGATTTAGAGGTTCCAATATTGTTCGACGTAACGTAACTTGTTACAGCGCGTCGCCAATGGCTGCGTTTTGGCGATGCTGCACGCGTAAAATGATTTCATTGATCAAACTGTAACTGCAAAAGAAGCATGATAATTGTTCTCATATGGATATACAAAGGCGACCATGGCACAATGAGGTCATCAGTCAACAGTAAAACGCCCAAGAAGGCGACAACAGTGGTCGCTTCACATCAATGGAGAGCAATTTGTGTTTTGAACTTGTGGACAATAATCAACTGTACGGCGATCACTAGATTCATGCGGCGTGACAGAGTGACTGGAATGACTGCAGGCAGGTCATGGTGTGGAAGACTTCTTCACAACCATGGAAGACTGCTGTCCCCTCACCTTGCATCAAGCTAACAGGTTCCTCAATATAAAATTATCTCATGTGACTGCTCTTGGGCGTACCAGTTGTTTCGTGGTTGTCCAACGCCCCACTCAGGCATATTAGAGCCATACGACAGCGGTTTGTAAATAATCAAGTCTGGACCAGACGATCCAATGACTGACATGGTCAAAAGCATTAATGAACGTCATAGGGACACGATCACGAGGCAACATCGACTTCAGCGTTTGTGTTTGGCACGTATAGTTCAACTTTGGCAACGTGGGAACTAGCAACGTGCGTTCTTTCTGGATCTGCTGATGTGGCCAGATAATTCAATCTCCCAATACAAAGAGGTCAGATTGTACAGGCACCGAGAAAGGAATGGGGAGCAATTACTGATGGCGTCATTAAATGCCTAACGATCCTTGTCCGACGTCGTGTGTACGCATACATATCTGGACATTGAGGACATACACGCTTCTGAATCATTGATATTCATTAAGTGACATATATCATCGTGTTTATTCACGCTTCTTTCTGGGTGGTGTTTTGCAAAATTCCCCATGCCTAAGAACCGCGGTGTTGCCATTTGATTATTGTATAAAGGAGCACTTCTATCTTGTCAAATAACCATATTTTCCAAGTTCAGCGTTTGGACTATTTTTCGATTTTACCATTTCCGAAAACTGATCAGAAAACTTTCATCCATCCTCAGTTTATGTCACTGGACTGAAATGAAATTTGACGTGAAATGTTTAAATCACTACCATAAACTGTTACCAATACAAAACATTGATGAAATGCGTGAAGAAATATAAATCAATATGCCTACTTTGGAAACAGTCATTTTCCATGAAACCACTTGCACAGCCATCAGGACACATGCCAGTCACGTGATCACATGTGTCAGATGGTGTCTTACAGCGACGCCTCCCGCAGTACTTGCTACATACTTCTCCATATCTCCCAGGATCACAGGCTGAGAGGGATGATGAGCAATGAGTTTACTTCGCTAATATCGCTACATTATTCATAGTTCGAAAGGTATATATATTTTAGTATTTTCGAATTCACATTATTTATGATAACAGAGCTATTCCTTAAGCTTGGATTGGCATAAGAGAGGCCAAACATTAATACAAACTTTTCTTCTTTGTTTGCAAACATAAACGTTTATAGATTCACCTGCTTTCGATTTGAGGATCCCCGGCCGCGTCAGAACAAAAGACGTTAAAAGATGGTGCTTGTTATTACCCTGTCTGGTACTCGGCATTAAGGGGCTAAAACAAGGACTGGTCGGCTCGGAGTCTGTATACTGTGTCTGAGTGGGTATTCATGTTAAACTGCGGCATGGTATCTCAGTGGGCTAGCACTATAAATCGGCATCAGTCCGGACTAGTACAAGCAGCCACACACACAAACACACACACGTGCATGCACGTCGCTATATAAGTGCAATAATCTTAGACGCGACGTTAAACCCAATTTCACCTCACCTCACCTCCATATCAGGTGTCTGTATGAGAAGACAACAAAACGGAATAAGTCTTGTAATTTAAATCAAAAGTCCTTGATATGAGTCAGTGTCGTCAGCTTAACGAACCAAAGACTTGTTGCGTCCAAGCAACACAGATGCTTGTATGAATTGCAATATATAACTTTCAGTCAGCATTTTGTATTTGAACACTAGCGGTATTCAGCTGCAGCGTTATTGCACTCGAATCGTGATGTGATAATGCTTTGACGGATTGATGGAGCGTTGCTTCACGTCATGTATCAAAACGTGGCTTTTGACATTTGGACGAATGAGCTGTGAAACACGATGATTTCAGGAAACGAAATTGAAATTATGTTCTGTATTAAACACATGTTGTACAGTATCCACAAAAGTGAAACTACCATTACGACCATATATTTGTATAATGACAATGACCTGAAAATAGAAATCCTGTTGAGTATGTACGATACGAGACGGAACAATGTAAACGTCCAGAGCTGTCGACAATGTAACCACCAGAAAGCCGTGAAAGAATCGACATTTTAGCTGTCGACTTCTGCTATCTAGCAACGTGAACGACCCGTGATAAATGGAAACCACAATTAATTAAGCAATAGAAAATACATGACTGAACAAAATACTATGTACGATGCTGAAAACATTACCTAGCGTACAATCTGTTCCTTGATAACCCGCCGCACATCCCCCGACACACTGCCCTTGTATCTTGCCAGGACAGCTGGAGTCCAATGGCGGGCAGCGCAGAGTTGGCTACAGTCAGCTCCATAGTACTCAGAGGCGCATGCTAGTATATAGGACTGTCATATTCAAATGTATGCGGTGTCATGACCAGTTATGGGATGCAAAATATGAGACAAGTTATCTGCTATCAAGTAGAGGGGGTCGGGTAGCCTAGTGGTTAAGGCGCCGAAGACCCGGGTTCGATTCCCAATATGGATACAATGTGTGAAGCCCATTTCTGACGTCCCCAGCCGTGATATTGCTGGACAATTGCTGAAAGCGGTGTAAAACCATACTCACTCACTCACTACTATCTAGGTGATGAATGGAATGGCACGGCTGTTTTGTAATTTTCCAAGTAAGTAGTTTCGGACTTTTTACTAGTAATTTAAGCGTGAAGTAGCCTGGTGGTCTTTTCGTTACGACCTACAATCTGTGGCTTCTGGACTACTTGGTACTAGATGAAATCAACAGCACATAAAACAGTTTTTATTAGTTAGACAATAATATATTGAAGACATACTGCCAGTCGGTTGGACTGCTACGGGTACCCTTTTCGCGAAAACCTGGTGTCATCGCTGATATTTACACTGCAAACACGAAAACGTCGTTTTTTTTCGTATATGGTCATTGGACGGAAAAACGACGTTATTTGGACGCTTTCAAACCATCGTTGTTCCGTCCAAATAACGTCGTTATTTGACATCGGAATTTACTGGGAGAGAACGATATCATGAAGCTCCTCCCTTTCTTGATTGACATTGTCAATCAAGCAACAGCGTCTATCGGTATTCCTACTTCTCAGATTTCATTGGTCAGTTCTCGCGTGTTAGAGTACAGGCCCGAGTTTGACGCTGTACTCGAAGCGCTTAGCGGAAGTACTGAAATCAATCGTTCTGCGCATGCGGATTGCTTAATGCCTTGTCCAAATATTCCCTTCTGTGCATGCGCGTATTGTTTCCACTATGTCACCACTATTTGACAATGATTCTTGAACACAGTCTCGTGATGAGTTCGGACTCGTACAATGTCACTTTAATTTATGGCACGTACTTGATCGGCACGCATTTCCCATTAACTAATACAATGATAACGGTAATGATTTTAGTGCAAATAATTAGGAAAGCGCAAGGCTCAGGAACGCTTGAGTATAGGTAAATGACTTATTCGTTCGAAAGTTATATAATCGTCAAATACGCAAATGAATATCAACCGGCTTTTAAAACTTATTTTAGTAGAAGGTGATCTTGGTTATATTGCCAGATATTATATGCATATACATTTTTACGATATTGCTTATTTTAGTGTTTATTAATAGTCTTAAGGTTCGTCCGCCTAATTGACGGGATTCCACTTTCTCATTTGTA